ATCCACTGAGCTAAACCAGTTAGGGCACTTCACTTTCTTGGAGAACACAGACCAGAATCTGGGGGACATTCCTGGGTAGGTTATGAATACTTTTGGCCAAGAGTGGCATCAGTCCCCTAAAAGCATCCTGGTACTGAGACCAAACCTTTTAAGAATGAAATGAGTGAAGGGCCTCATTTGCTCAAATATACAATAAACAACCCTAAACTCCCTCAAAGAATTGTGTGTTTCTCTCATGAAAACTGGTTTCTTAAGAAATAACACTGTTTTGGCCCTAACCGGTTTGGCTCAGTGAATAGAGCGTCGGCCTGCGGACTGAAAGGTCCCAGGTTCGATTCCGGTCAAGGGCATGTACCTTGGTTTCGGGCACATCCCCAGTAGGAGGTGTGCAGGAGGCAGCTGATCGATGTTTCTCTCTCATCAATTCTAACTCTCTATCCCTCTCCCTTCCTCTCTGTAAAAAAATCAATAAAATATATATTTTTTTAAAAATAACACTGTTTTGGAAAATGTTGTGACAATTTGTCTAACTTTGAAGTATGACACGTTTATTTGCATTTAATTATCACTTTTTACAACTGACCGTGGTTAAGCATGCTCTTCTGCATTTTCGGGCTGCATCTGGAGGCCATGAAAGAGAGAAGAGAGCCTCTTCTAAAGGTAAACTGGTATGCTTACGATGTCTATGCTCCTCCACAGAATTAGCCATCTCTCCCCAAAGTGTTTCTCTAGTCTACTACTTACAGGGCCTTAAATGAGGGGGTTTATGGGCTGAATAAGAGAATGCTGGGATGGGGCAGTGGGAAAGAAGAGAATCCCTGACTTCTTAGAAGTTTTCCATGGAAGAATTAGAAACACAGTTCTACTTCAGATTTTTCAAGTGGCTTTTTTTTTTGTACAGAGATGAAGGGAGAGGGATAGAGAGCCAGAAACATCCATGCGAGAGAAACATCGATCAGCTGCCTCCTGCACACCTCCTACTGGGGATGTACCCGCAACCAAGGTACATGCCCTTGACCAGAATCGAACCTGGGACCCTTCAGTCCGCAGGCTGATGCTCTATCCACTGAGCCAAACCGGTCAGGGCTCAAGTGGCTTTGAATATAATTCATCATCTTCTTTACTGTTTCCGTTTCTTCCTCATTAGATAACCAGCTGTGTCTTCCTGATTCACAAGAAGCTGGTCTATGATGCATCACCTGGTTGGGGTGGGGGTGGGGTGAGTCATCTAAATTGTATTGACATGATGTGAGAAATCAACTTGTTTTGTGATAGAGACTTTCAATCTAGGAAAATGCAGGGACCAAACCAACCTTTTCAAAAATGCCAAGGTCAAAGCCCTTCCTCCAGCCTACATCTCCCAGTCTAAGCTGTCATGAGGCATTGCCTCGTGGCCACAATAACCAGAAGGATTGAGAGTGGTAGACTGGAAAGGTATGCATCAGGTTTTCTAAATTAGAGTCCTTAAGTGTCTCAGAAGACCTTACTGAAAGCTTATAATATCAGGCTTCAGACTTGAATTGTTATAGGGCAGTGATGGCGAACCTTTTGAGTTCGGCGTGTCAGCATTTTGAAAAACCCTAACTTAACTCTGGTGCCTTGTCACATATAGAAATTTTTTGATATTTGCAACCATAGTAAAACTAAGACTTATATTTTTGATATTTATTTTATATATTTAAATGCCATTTAGCAAAGAAAAATCAACCAAAAAAATGAGTTTGCGTGTCACCTCTGACACGCGTGTCATAGGTTTGCCATCACTGTTATAGGGGCTCTCCCTCCCGGAAGCACGCCCAGGCCTTTCTCTTCTCTCTTCCTTTACCCCGAGGCACGTTACTATTATCTTCCTCACTCACAAGCTCCAACGGCCCTTCCTTTACCTCTAACTTGTTTCCTACAGCCATTTCTTCTACAAATTACTTCTTCCTCTGTGATTTTATAAATAGAGGACCGGTGCACATGCACCCGTGGGGTCTCTCGGCCTGGCCTGTGGGGATCAGGCTGAAACCGGCTCTCCGACATCCCCCAAGGGGTCCTGGATTGTGAGAGGGCAGTTCTTGGGTGATGCACCCCAGAATTGGGCTCCCACCTCTCTGGTTTTGGGGTGTGTCACCCGAGAACCACAGCTGCCAAGTCACTGCACCTCAGCAGCTCCTGTGTCGAGCATCTGCCCCCTGGTGGTCATTGCACATCATAGCTACCGGTTGGACAGTCTGACGGTTGCTTAGGCTTTTATATATATAGATGTTCTCTTATAGTTTGTAAAAAAACACACATGAATTGTTATAGAGCATTCTGATGACTGCACTCATGCAGGTGCCACTGCAATATTCACTGTCCTGCGTGACCAGCTCAGTCTGCATGAGAACTCCCATGGTTCCCACCTTCATCTTCCCACATCAGCTCCTTAGTCTAGGTGGGGAGGTGACATTCCTCACTCCTGACAATTTTCCTTCCTCGATGCACCTCGCAATTAGGCTCACCTATAGACACCTTTCCCCTGAGTCAATGAATATAAAGAACTATTGGATAAGTAACAATGACGTTTTTTAATTGCTTTCACTTCACCTAGAATATGGCTTAAATTAAATGTTATACACATGCATGCACATACATACATTCATTCCAAAAATATTTATTGAACCAGACACTGGAACCACCACAAAAATGATTCATGCCCTTGAAAATTCTGTTGTAAGGAAGGCTCATGAAGGGATCAAATTCAGGAAGTCACATCATTATCCTTAAAATTCTATAACATACTACATTGTACATGAAAAGTGCTGAAAGAGATGGAGACAGGGAAGAAATGAGAATGGTGGGCCACGTAGAGATGAATTTTTAGCTGAATCTTACAAAATGTCAGGCACAGAAAGAAAAAGAGCGCATTCCAAACATAAGCCATGCCATGTACAAAATCCGTCAAGAAAGAATATACTGTATTCGAGGAACAACAGCAAAAGCTTCATGGCTGATGAATAGTGTGTGGGAAAGGAGAGCGCCAGGAAACAGGCAAGGCCAGACTGAAGTGATTTGAGTGCCATACTCTAAAGTTCGACTGTATCCTGTGGACACCAGGGACCAATAAAAGTTATTAAGCTCAAGAAATAAATGGTTAGATTTATGTTTTAGAAAGGTAACTCTGCGGCCAGCAGAGAGGATGGATTTCAGAGTAAGATCACAGCATTATTTCTCTCAGCAAAATTGTATGAGAATTTTTGGGGACAAGGGATGTTAAATAAATATTTCTGGGGTTCAACCTTTAACTACTGAATCAAAATCTCTGGGCTGCCGGCCTGGGAGCCTGCATATATAACATCTCTAATATCACGGGCCCTACAAGTCTGAGCCATAGAGTCATAGAGGCCACTTAGAAAGGTTTCACAATTGTCCAATTCAAAGATGAAATTAGGGAGATCTGCACAGGCTGCCCTTCCAGGCTAGCTAATAATTTTTTTAAGGCAATTATATAATTAAGTGCTAAACGTTTGTTGCAGCGTGCTATGTTATCTTGGCCAAGTCATTTGCTACCTTGACACCAGGCATTTATATGACAAAGCACTGATATGCAAATCGTGTTGGAGTGTCACAAATTCCCAGGAGATAAAGTATTTATCACTTTCAACTAAAGGGTTGCAGGAAGATTAGATTAAGCCATTCTTATTTGTTTGCTTGCTTATTTACTGTCTCCTGTAATTCCCAGGTGAGTAGAAACCTTGTTGACACTGATGGGTCTCTGGTGCAAAGGTGCCAACCCAAAGAAAAAGTAAAAACATTCTGAGAAAAGACAAATAGAAGGCGTAGGAAACGCTGCAATGTCTGGTGAAAGAAAGCACATTGGACAGGGAATTAGGAGATTCCGTCTTTTTCCATGTAGTACTTACTATTCATTCAACACCTTCACGGTGCTGGATGCTGAAGATTTTACCCCTAATGCATTGCCAATGTCCATTCCAGGGTTTGATCCCGCTACTCAGGATTAAGGGGCCCTGACAAGTTTACATTGTGGATGAAAAAAGGGGTGCTGTGATAGATCATAAGTTCCTAACTGGGTCATGGTGGGTGGTCAAGACCCAGGCATATAACTTTTTAGTAAAAGGTTTATCTTGGCTTACCTCTGCCCATTGTTTCTGTGGATTTAGGTTCACAAACCTTTGAAATGCTTATTTTCAGACCCCTCCTTCAAGATACAACTTCCCAGGAGAGAGCATATAATCTTAACTATCTTCTAATCCACCACCCACCTTGCTTTCTCCCACCTCCATGTAACCTCCCTTATGTCACCTCAACTTCAAATGCACAAAAGAAACTGTAAAACTGTTACTCTCTGCAGCAGTTTAGATCTGGCTTCCTGGCAATTGTCGTCAGTTTAGGCTCAAATACACTCTTATGAAAATTCCCTACAGGTTTGTACACTTCTTACGTGGACATCATTAAGCTTAAACTTCAAGCCTGAATTCCTTAGTAAAATGAGGGACTGGCCAAAAAGGAGATGATTCCAGATTTCACTTTGTCATTCATTTTCTTTACCTTCTGGCTTCAGTTTCCCCTTTTACCGTGAACAAAGGAACGTGCTGGCCGCCAAATCCTTGCCCTCGGAGCAGAAATGTAACCGCTCCTCCAAGAACTGGCTCCTCAAAGAGCGATAGAAACCGTAATCGATCCGGAGGCGGAAAACAATGTGGCCCTAACTGTTCGGTGTCTCCCCGGCCCCCGGCGGGGGAGGCTGGTCCCGCCAGCTCCGGGCCAACTCGCGGCGGCGCACGCTCCTCTTTCCACTTAAGTTTTCCCGGGGCCGGGAAGGTGATGGGGGTGGGTGGTGGTGGGGGGGCGCCCCACCTTGCGAAGACGCTCCGCCCTGGGAGGGGGCGGGCCTGCAAAGAATACCCGGGGCCCAGAGGAAGACTCCCATTGGCCGGAGGGCGGGTGACGGGAGGGGGCGGGGCTTCCCAGGGTATATATGGGAGGGGGTGTGCACAACCTGTGTCAATTTCGGAGTCTCTGGCCGCGCTTGTCCTCCCCGTGGTGCGACCTGAGCCGTCTCCCTTAAGGCTTTCCCCGCAACGGGCAGAGAGCCTCTGCCGCCTGGGTACCCCTATCCTGCTCGGTGGCGCCCCACATCTCCCCCACCCCCGGGGCCCTTCCTGCATTTCCTCGACGGTGCGTGGATTCGGGAGACTTTCTGTTTGTTTTCTCCTCTTTCCTCTTTGTTGCTCTAAAACCGGCCTCTCCGAAGCCCCTCACTCCGAAGGGAGCTCGACTTCTGGAGAAAGGCGGCTGCGGCGGACTCACCGGCCCCACCTGCGGACCGGCGAGGGCCAGCGAGCCGGTGCGCCCTCCCGCCTGCCTCCCCCGCCGCCTGCGTTCGTCCGTTCGTCCGCCTGGGAAGCCCGCCGCGCGTTCATTGATGCACCCATTCCAGTGGTGTAACGGTGAGTCCGGGGGCGAGGAGGGGGCGCGGGGCTCCCCGGGGACGAGGAGGAGGCGCCAGACTTAAGATCTGAGGCTCGCTCTGCCTCTCGAGCCAAGTTTCTCTTGAAATGGGGCGGGCGAGAAGGCGTCCTGGAGCCCAACTCTGCTCCGCACAGCGCGGAAATGGAAAAACAACCAAACAAACCAACGCAAAGCCCCGACCTCGCTGGCGGGCGGGGAAGGGTCTCCGAAGGGGCGGCGGCGGCGGGGGCGTGGGAGCCGAGGGGTTCGCGGCCTTTGTGTGGCGGCTTCGCTCTCCTACCCCTTCCCCTGCCTTTGTGCGCTCCCAGTCTGTTCTTTGTTGTGATTGTCGGAGGAGCCTGAAATCCGCGCTCCGGCTCGGATCTCCTAGACTAGAGGGAGCTCAAGTTCCCGGGCTGAAACTTTGCAGGCTATTTGAAATGTGCACACAATGCTGCGTGCGGGCCCGGCCGGGGGTGGCTTCCTCGGTGTCTTTGTTGGCTTCGCACTGGCTGCGATGGGGCTCTGTGCCCGGATTAAAGAGCGTGGCTTTATGGAGTTGATAACGCTTCGCAGATACGTATCTCGGAGCTCGGTTACCCCGGGGTGCAGGCTAATCTGGTCCCAGGAGCCTCATGGTGGAGCTTTCACCGCCAGACCCAACCACCCCATTCACTAGCCACCCTCCCAACCCCCGGGTGATGCTAAATTTATCTCATCTGAGGCTTCCTTTGCGGTTCAGGAGATAACAGGTTGGCGTGGGTCTGATTCCTCACCCAAGCTAATTGAACTGGGGGCCTTTCTCAGGGATCCGTTCAAAACCTTGAATACTAATACTCTCTAATGGTCCTGGGATCTTGACCACCTACTTGTAACGCTTGTAGAGTTGGGGTAGGGGGAGAGCTAGTCTTATCTCTGAGTGTGGCAAACTGGCTAGTAAGGAAAAATTCATTCTGCAAGCAGACTCCTTCTTGCCAGGTCTTGGATTAATTATTTCAAGAGGCTTTTGTTTTAAGGCAAGGTTTGGGCAGCATGTGTAAGAATGCCCTCCCCCACCCCCTTCCTCTTGCAAGTAGTATCTAATTTCCTGACAGTGAACCAAGCTCTGTGATAGGCGGGCATTGCGGGAGAGGGGGCGGAAGACGGGGGTGAGGCCGAACTGTGTATCCCGGCATCTGGGAAAGATTCCCTCGGCTGGGAAGGAGGCATTTCCCAGTCTCTGGTCTTTCTTGGCCAGCCCTTCTCTTGACGTCATTCCCACTCCCAGCCCACGGAGATGAAACATTCTGATGTCAGGGCTTGCATAGGTCGGCTGAGACAATGGGGAAGAGACTTCAGGAGAAGAACCCGGGTGTGTGTGTGTGGGGGGGGGGAGGTTGTCAGGCACACTGGCCTTTCTTCTGGTCAGCCCTCTTTCAGAGAGGTTCTTAGGTCAGCAGAGGACATGCTGCTTTCTCTGTTCACTTCTTAGTGACTGAGAGATCCTGTTCTTTGACTCCAATGAGGAAGCAGTCCCTCTCCCCACCGTTTTGTGAAAAACCTCTGAATCCCCTCTTTCCTGGGGTTGGTGTTCTGCCCAACTTTTAGAGGAAAACTTCACCATTCAAACAAATGGACCATCTCTTGGCTATGAAGCTCTTCTCACCTACACCCCTATCCCATAAGAGTCCTAAGCTCAGTGACTCAATCCTGGGTTATCAGACAAGAGAAGATGATGAAGATGGACTGCTGAGGCCAAAGTGCCTGCAGAGTGCATACACAAATCCTCTACAATAGCTACTGTCACCCCACTGCGAGCTCCCAGAATAGGAAACCAAATGCGGTTCTTTGGAACCCCAAAGACACCAGGATCCAACCTATAAAAGAATGCATAGAGAGTCAAGGCAGATTGGCGGTTAGGTCCTCTTATAGCATCAGATAGTGTTGGGGGCAGGGAGGGATGGAGTTGCTCTTGTTGGGAGGAGGGCCTCATTGATATTGTGGACACAGTTTCTTGAAGGGAAGCCCTAAGACCCTTTTCCAGAATAGACTCAGTCCACCATGATGTCTTCAAGAAAATTTGATTTCCTTTGGCCCATCGAGCAAATATTTGAGTGGAGGGGTGGTGAAAACTTTCTAAATCCTGCTGGAGACTAGAAGCAAGGGCTTATTGTTGGGTATAGCAAAGTTTAGTAGCTAATTATTTCATTGTTTTCAGCTTAATAAAAAAATCTTTCAGGATAAGAATTACTTCTTGTTTACCCACAATGTGTAGGTCATTGCGTAAATCAGGCCTTCAACAATACTTGTTCATTGACTGGTCATCCATTCAGCTGAGGGCAGTTTCTAGGCAATTTTCCCAAACATCGGTCTACTTACTTCAGAGTGTGAGTTTCTGCCAAGGTGCCAGGGTTTGAGAAAATTAGGAGTTATTTATCTGTTAACTAGTTTTTGAGAACCAGCCAAACACTAGACTAGGCACTGGAAAATATCCAAATTGCTTTCCTCAGACCTCAGAGCATTCAGGTTGTTAAGGACTTTCATCTCTGATCTTAGGATTATAGTTGCACCTCCTCTGTGCTTCGTTTTGTATGGTGAAAACCTTTTTGTCTGGCCTTTGCTGGTTTGACTCAGTGTGTTGGCTCTCAGACTGAAGGGTCTCAGGTTTGATTCCCAGTCAAGGGCACATACCTTCGTTGCAGGAAGGCAACCAATCAATGTTTCTCTCTGTCTCTCTCCCTCCCTTCCACTGTATCTCTCTTTAAAAAAAAGAAAGAAAGAAATCAATGGGAAACATATCCTTGCATGAGGATTAACAAAAACAAAACAAAAAACACCTTTGTGGCTTTCTTCTTCCCTAGAAGGTAAAACCATCTACTCATTTTTTTTCCTTGATTTTTATCTTCAGTTTTTATCATGGTACTTGTCATATAATCAATGCTTAATGTATGTTTGAATTAAGTTGATGCTAGGAACAACTGGGCAATGTAAGACAATTACTAAGTATTCAAGAGCCAGAACATGTGATAGAGCTGTGAGCACACAGAATTCTGGGAAGAGAGGGTCACTGGAATATCACAAAGACCAAGTCTGGTGGATTTTAGGAAGACAGGGAGTTTCAGGCAGATAAAGCTGATGAACAAAGGCATGGAGGCAGTGAGCACAAAGTTGGGCAAGAAGTAGTGAGGAGACAGGCCCACATGGGGTGGTGCTGGAGAACATTGGTGGGAAGGTTAAGAGGGGACCCAGTGCACACATGGTTAGGAGGAATTTAAGCCAGTCATGAGTTTGGGAAATTCATGATAGAAACAGAGTAGGAGGATATGAGAGCCATGTGGGCTAAATTAGAGGAGAGACTAGACATCAATTAGGTGACTGGATAGGGACTTGGAATAGAATTGGGCCTAACGTCTGTTTGGAATAGGGACTTGGCAATAAAATTGGGCACAAAATAGGAAAGAGGTTTGGAGGGAGGCTCATTATATGGTCACTGGATCGATCTAGGGCAGGGGTGGGCAAACTTTTTGACTCGAGGGCCACAATGGGTTCTTAAACTGGACGGGAGGGCCGGAACAAAAGCATGGATGGAGTGTTTGTGTGAACTAATATAAATTCAAAGTAAACAACATTACATAAAAGGGTACGGTCTTTTTTTTCAATAGTTTTATTCATTTCAAACGGGCCGTATCCGACCCGTGGGCTGTAGTTTGCCCACGGCTGATCTGGGGGATGAAGAGAGGTATGAGAAGTACATCAAAGATGACTTCATCTTTCAAGCCAGACTTCTGCTGAACTGTAGCTCTGGTAATTATAATGCAGAATTCTGAAGTATATATTAATGGGTTCTGGCTCGTAACCAAAATGTCAGGAAAGTTCCTAAAACCGATGTTGAGGGCTCGAGTACAGAGGACTTTGGAGCCAGGCCTTGTTAACTGTTGGAATATAGACAGTTCAATGATTGAGTCTTTTTAAAATTAAACTGGTAGCATGAGAATATGCCTGGGATGTAGCAGATATATGGTAAATTCTCATTTGCTTGTCTCACCACATTCTGAAACAAAAATGTTATGCTTATCTTTTGGATCACTGTGGTATTTTTGCCTGCAAGCATGAATAAACACTCAACCAGCTTATTGCTTATATCCTATCTTTTTTTTTCTCTTTTTCCTTATGGTTAAACATTACAGGCAATGTACTGTCAGAACCAGTAGCCCCAAGATAGAGAATGGCTCCAGCACTGGCTAATCTAGCAACTCAACTGATAAAATCTTTCCTCCTCTTTGTTTCCCCTGCCACAGGCTTTATATTGAACTGCTCTCTTTCCAGCTATAACTTGGCTGCCACCAGGACAGGTGTTTTGAGCAGACATGACCAAAGAGAGAGAGAGAGAGAGAGAGAGAGAGAGAGAGAGAGAGAGAGAGAGAGAAAGCTTCCCTTTTTCAGCAGACATTTCTCTGTGTTTCATTGGCCAGAATCTTGTCACACACCTACCTCAACACAAAACCCTGGCAAGGGGAAGATGACTATCACAGTTGGTGGACCAACCAGGATACCCCTGAGGTCATGTGAGAAGGGAAGCAGCTAGTGTGCTTCCCGCGCTGAATGCGTAGGGCTGAGGACCTTGTTAGTGTGTAGATTCTGATTCATTTCTTCTGGGGTGGGTCCAATACGCTGCATTTCAAATAAGCTCCAGGGAATATCATTGCTACTACGAGACTGCACAGTGAGGCTTTGAGTAGAAACCGGGACAGTAGACAGTAAGAGTAAACTGCAACCCCCACCCACTTTCTGGAACTCAGCCTTGGAATGAATAATTTCTATTCTGGTCCTATTGCAGCTTGTCTCCTGGAGCAGGTGGCTTCATAATGACAAATGACCTTTGGGGTTGCACTTTGCAATTTACAAAGCATATTTCTTTTTAAAAAATATATATTTTTATTGATTTCAGAGATGAGGGGAGAGGGAAGAGAGAGATAGAAACATCAATGATGAGAGAGAATCATTGATCAGCTGCCTCCTGCATGCCTCCCACTGGGGATCAAGCCTGCAACCCAGGCATATGTGCCCTTGACTGGAATCAAACCCACAACCCTTAAATCCACAGGCCGACGCTCTATCCACTGAGCCAAGCCAGCTAGGGCTACAAAGCATATTTCTTAATGCTGGTTCTCTATGTATATATATATTTTTTTTGTCCTCTCTGTATTTTCCTTGTTTTCACATAACAGAGTGAAGCTTAGTGAAGTAACCTCATAAAAGGTCACATAGCTAGGAAGAAACGGAGTTTAGAGCCCAAATATACATTCCCTCACCTAAGGTTCTTCATTTTGCTGCTGCACCGTACGGGCTCTAACTGAAAGAAGTATTTCCATTTTTCTGCCCATTGCCTGAAATCTTGACACCCCGCCTCCGCCCCACCTCCCAAGATGGGGAATGCAGCTTTAAGTACTGTGTGTAGTAGTCCATTTCATAGATTGGTTACTTGACCCATGATCACATAGCTAGTCTTAGAACTAGAACATGAACTTAAGCCCCGGAATCAGAGGTTTAGGAGCCCAGAGTCTGCCAGTTCTCTTTCCGTCTTCGCTGACACAGAGTACATCAGCCCCAGAGGTACATTTCCCACTAGAATAATATTATTTTTCCTCCCCCTTTCCCTGCAGGGTGTTTCTGCGGCCTGGGACTGGTTAGTACTAACAAGTCCTGCTCAATGCCACCCATCAGTTTCCAAGACCTTCCTCTGAACATCTACATGGTCATCTTTGGTACAGGCATCTTTGTCTTCATGCTCAGCCTCATCTTCTGCTGTTACTTCATCAGGTGAGTGACTCACTGGCTGACCTGGAATGGGGGAGTCGGGGAGGAGGCAGCCAGGGGTAGGGTGAGCTGAGCGAGGCTCACAACGGTCACTAGCCTCCAGCGGGTGTCCTGTTTGAAAGACAGGACTTAGCCAGTCCTTTACTGGGCCCCCGAGGCCTAGTGTTTCTGTTTACATCAGCCTATCAAGTTGCCCCAGAGCATATAAGGTCACTATGGGTTGGGCTGCATCCTGCCTCTTGGCCAGTTATGCTAAGGTTGTCAGGCTTACTGTCTGACAAAGTAATGTCATTGATGGTCCTTTAACTGTCTCTCGCCCCACTCACACCCGCTGGGTAGCTGGGGATAAGTAGGCATGAGTTACACCAGTGGCACGTACCTCTGTCCTCCTGGGAAATCTTTCTATGTCCAGCAGATGCTAATATTAGCCAGCTGGTGTCTGGAGATCTGCTTGTTTATTCTGCCTTGGAGCCCTTATTTTTGAGAGTGAAAAAACTAAAAGCCTCCCTTAGTGCACAGGGACCCAGGGAAGGACTGGAGTTTCTCCGGGAACTGTGGCTATTTCCTACCAAAAATGTGGGACATAACCGGAATTTAGACTGGAAATTAGAGCCATTTCTAACAAGAGCACTCTTTTGGTGTTAATCATTCTTTGCTATATATTGGGGAGTGCTGAGCGCCTCTGACTAGCAGAACATGCTAGAGCCATTGTGATAACTAACCCCCACAAATGCTTGAGTAGATGTCAGCTGGAGTCTAGGCTAGTGTCTGATCAAATCATCTAAGAAGATGAAATTAAGACAGAGGAAAAGGAGATCTGGTTCCCTACTGAGGCGTCCTGGTGGATTTGAGTCCTTCACCCAGAAGGAGGCTAGAGAAGGTGCTTGTCCTATTCTTCAGGCTGGAAGATCTCTCTCTAAGAGGAGGAAGTGCCTGCAGGCCTGCTCCCCAGTGCTCTCGGTTCTTTCTCAGAACTTTAAAAAGTCCCTACAACTAGAATTTTCCACTGAAGCCACTATCTTCTGTAAATACTTTTGTTTTTTTCCTCTTGTACAATTGTGTCTAGAATTTGCATCTCACTATTAAGTGGGGGGTGAGGATAGGTTTCTGGTATTGCCCCATTCCCTCGCCTTTCCCCAAGCCTGAGTTTTGTTCCTCAAACTTCCATCTGCCTGACCACCAGCCAGTCCCATCCTCTCATCTCGAGCAAATGTGCAGTTCCCAGAGGCTGAAGGGGACACATTCCAATACCAAAGATTTGTGTATGATGCTGGAGGAGTCTGTAAAGCCAACTCCACTTGGTCCCTTTACACACACACACACACACACACACACACACACACACACACAAGCTCACATATGCCAAGCTGCAAAGGTGACCAAGTGAAGAAATCCTAGAAAATCACTGTGGGCCACTAATGGGTGTAACCTTAGATTTTTAGCTATTCTTTACCAAGTGCCACCTGCATGCCAGACATCATGGTTAGCATTTTGTAAAATACTTAGCTCACTTAATCCTCAGAACATCCCTGCAGTTTAGGTATGAGTCCACTTTATAAATGGCTGATTCTTACTCCTTGACTATGACGTGGAGGGGAACTGTGGCTGTGGCCACCTCTTTACAGCTAAAGATTGGGTGTCTGCAGAAGGAGAGGCTGGGAGCTGGGGATGGCTGATTAATTTTTGTTTGGCTGGCCTGAAGGAACAGAGCAACAGAACCGCACGGTGCCAAAAGCTTTCCTGTGGCAGGGCTGCTCGGCACCACCTGTCCCTTCTGCCGTCATCTGCCCCTGCACCACCCCACTCTGCTCTGCAGCCCGCTCCGAGCCAGCCCACCCCACAGTCTCATGGTTCCAGAGGCTCACTGGTGTGTGGCAGCCTGTGGGCGTCTATATATAGAAAGACACACAAGTGCAGAAGCCACTTCCTCTCCCTGCTTCTTGGTTTCCTCCTCAGCCAAAATAGGCCCATGACCCCTGCTCGTGACCTGGTGAGCTCATTGGCCAACACCAGCCTCCACTCCCAGCTCCCCCACACTCATTCTCCCCCAGCCCCCAAAGGGCTGATCTCTCCCCTCCACAGGATGGAGGGGCCAGTGAAGTACACACAGGCAGGAAAGGAACAATTATTTTCAGGACCTGGCTGCATTGTTTGTTCCAAAAGGGAAAAGAAGCAAAGGGAGAGCTCACTGGCAGTGGCTGGAAATGGTGTCATTGAAATCAGCGTATTTTTAGCTACTTTGCTCACCCAACAGCTGAAAGGGCCACCTGTCCAATGTTGTTGGCACCGTATCCCCTGCTGGGATGGCCCGGCATCTTTGTTTTCTTGTTTTGTTTCCTTTTGCAACCTGTTTGGCCCCATTTCATCACACTCTAAAGCTTCCTGATCCAGAAATCTGCATGCAGGGTGCAGGTGCAGCTTTAAGCCCCTCAGTGTTCTGAGCGTCCTGTGCTCCGAGAGGCAGGCTTCTGGAGTTTCCTCGGATAAGACCATTAAAAGGAGGGCACCCCAGGCATCAGCCCGTACAGCGCGGCGCACACGACATAATAGCCATGTTGCATTGAGGCTCACAATTATGTGTGGCATCCCCTCATTCTCTGGCTAAGAAGCAGGCTCCTCACCGCTTCCCTAGTCACTCTGCTCCTACCTGCTCAGAGTGGCTGTCTCCCTCAGAAGGTAGCTGTAAGCACACCCGACTGAACATTCCTTCTTTCCCCCGTGTCTGTCGGCTGGCAGGTATGTAAGCTTTGGATGCATCCTTCCCACCCTTCTCACTGGGACGCGGGGACAGAGATGCCTGTGAACATATGAAAGTGCAAAGTGAAGGATGGGGCAGTGGGAGCCCTGAGGAGGCCTTTATCCAACCCTCCACTTTAGGAACCCTCCGGAGAGGGGAGAGAAAGGGGACAGATGTGCTGCCCAGGCCTCAGCCCAGTGGCAGGAGCCACTTGGATTGGAGTTTGTTCTTTAGAGGATCCAGGCACCTATGGCCTGGCCAGGCCCCCGACTATGGAGTGCTCACCTAATTGGTGAAACAGGCCACATTTTGTGTTAAAGAGCTCGGGCTCTGTAATCAGATAGACTTTCATTCAAATGCTGCCAACTGGCTCTGAAGTTTGAGCAAGTTACTTCTCTGGACTTCCTTTCCCCTCATCTGTGGACAGGGAAGCCTGTCCCTCTAAAGCTGCTTGGAGTCGATGGGCACGTACTTGAATATGGTAGTGCGGGGATCGGTGCACAGCAAGTCCCCGGTAAGGGTGTGCCGTTGCCTTTAGTAACGCGTGCCAGGTTTTGGCTCCTGAGAGAGGCAGCATGCAGGCCACCAGCTTGAAACAAAAAGGAGCAAACAAAGAAGGGCTCGCCTGTGTTTTCCTGGCACCGTGAGGGGAGAGTGCTCTGTTTCCAGAATACTGTGTTCTCCGGGCAGAACGTCCCGCAGGGCCAACAGACACTTCTTTATCCTGCTCCCCTAGGTTCATGGAAATAGCCCTTTTAAGACTATCTAATTTCTCTACATTCGGTAATTGTTAATCTATAGGGTTTGGGAGCCTGCAGGAATTTACCTCCTGAGAAAAGCAGGAAGAGGGAACCCCCAAGTCAGTGGCACTTGCAGAAAATGTTGAGGCTGTTGAGCCTGAGTCCTTAATTCACTCGGGGTGACCCACATAGGTCCAAACCCTACTCCATGGCATCTATAGGTGAGCCACCCCTGTGAGGAGCACCTGTCCCCACCCCCAGAAGAAGCCAGGCAGCCAGCCTGCCCGCCTGCCTCTCCTACTTTGAATGGCTCTGTTGGTGCCATAGTGACCGCTTCTCTCCTTTTCTTTTTCTCCAGCAAACTGCGGAACCAGGCACAGAGTGAACGATATGGATATAAGGAGGTAACGCACTGCATCTTTCCCTGAGACTTCCTCCTCTGCTCCTTGTCCTGCTAGAGACAGAAGAGGAGAAGCTTGAGCTGTCCTGGCCTGGAATCCCCCTCAGCCTCCCCTCTGGCCTTCTCCAGGGTTAAATCCTTTCACTGTCCTTGGCCTAGGCAGTGCCCAGAGCATCCCCTTAATAGGAGGGAGGGAGGAGGGAGGGAGGGAGTGAGGAGGGAGGGAGAAGGGGAGGAGGATCCTGTGCAGAGCTGGGGACTTTCCTCATTGGTTGATACCACCTGGCCCCGTGATTGGCTTCTTTGGACACCATGCTGCCTCCTTTGTTCCCAGGTGGTGCTTAAAGGGGATGCCAAGAAGTCACAATTATATGGGGTGAGTGTGTTGGGAAGCCAAGTGGGAGGGGCCCCGTGGGTAAAGCACAGGGCACCTTCAGCTTTCAGCCTGGGCCCGTTCGGGAACCTCTGAAAAGAAGGTCCTTTTACCCTTGTATATTCACTCTGCCCTGGCAGACTATGGATCTAACTAGTGTGTCCATGCCTGTGGTTCCTCCCTGTCCCCCCTTCACTCTGCCCACACCCAACAAATCCTGGGTTCCCCTGCACACTGACTCTTTAGGAATAGGCCATTCCTACCCCTTTCCCACCTGTGCCTGGAGGTCACCTAACTCACCGCCCAAAGCTTCCTTCCTAACCAGGACCTCCTGCACACAGTGTTTGTGGTTGTGTGGAGAAGGGAGCATCCCAGATATCACCAGACACAAGATTACTGAGAAATGAACCCATTTTGTCCCTGTTTTTAAATATATTTTTATTTTATTTTATTTTATTTTTTTTCAAATATATATTTTATTGATTTTTTTACAGAGAGGAAGGGAGAGAGAGAGTTAGAAACATCGATGAGAGAGAATCATCGATCAGCTGCCTCCTGCACATCTCCTATTGGGGATATGCCCGCAACCCAGGTACATGCCCTTGACCGGAATCGAACCTGGGACCTCTCAGTCCGCAGGCCGACGCTCTATCCACTGAGCCAAACCGGTTTCGGCTAAATATATTTTTATTGATTTCAAAGAGGAAGGGAGAGAGAGATAGAAGCATTAATGATGAGAATCACTGATCAGCTGCCTCCTGCGTGCCCCCTACTGGGGATCAAGCCTGCCCTTGACCAGAATCGAACCCGGGGCCCTTCAGTCCAAAGGTCGACACTCTATCCACTAAGCCAAACCAACTAGGGCTGCCCCTGTTTTTTATATCTCAACAAGTTCAGATGTTTCCCAAGCCCTCTTCTAGAAGAGTAATTCAGTTGAGATTGAGGGGATTCATATATATGGACAGAAGGCTGGATTTAAAGAAGGTAACTGACCACATACCCTCACCTTACCTCTCGTTATTGAGACATGTCCCCTTGCTAAATGTGCTAGGCTAGAACGCATTAAAAACCATTCTTCTAGAATAGCACTGTCCAACGGAAACCTGTGAAACTGTGGGGTGGCAATAATGTGTGTTCAGGGTGGGGAGTGGGGTTCTTGCCCGATCTCACACTGCCCCTGCCCCCTTGCTCTCCACAGCAGACCTGTGCAGTCTGTCTGGAAGACTTCAAGGGGAAGGATGAGCTAGGTGTGCTCCCATGCCAGCATGCTTTTCATCGGAAGTAAGTGTCTACAGTGGGGATGTGTGCCCGGGGGTGCCTTTTAAAAGAAATAAACAGGAAATGTCTTCTAGAACCTCCGATCCCTACCTCCTCCCACTTCCCCCTTGTCAGCAATCTCCTACAACCTGTCTGGACAGCAGGCAAAAGGGAGAGGTTCGATTGCAGTAAGGATAGGATGGTCTGGGTCTGAGAAACAGCTGGACTCTGATAGCCGGCCAGAGCAGGTTGCGGTATCTCACGTCTTCTGTTGCCCACAGGTGTCTGGTGAAGTGGCTAGAAGTACGCTGCGTCTGCCCCATGTGTAACAAGCCCATTGCTGGCCCCTCCGAGGCCACTCAGAGCATCGGAATCCTATTGGATGAGCTGGTGTGAGGGCTGCCTTTACATCAAGGCCTGGAGAAGACGTCTTGCCTCATGGGTGCCTGGTCCCTCTGCACAGCTGCAGTGAACAAGACTGTTGGGTGATAATGGTCATGCCTACCTGAAGGGGAGGTAGTTCAGGGCTGGTCTCCCACCATCAGTGAGAAGCCAGACTTGCCCCTCCTTCCTGCCTCCTGAAGTCTTCTTCTCTGCTACTCAGTACTGAAAGCATCGCCCATCAAGACCATTGTATCCTGGTACTGGATGATTTCCCTGCCTGACCCTGCTCTGGGGGAAGAATCACCCTTGAAGCATACAGTAGAGATAGAGACCGTATGACCACAAAGCCCTAGAAGGGATGAGATGGGCTCTGTCCTCCCTTGTCCCCCACTCCTTCCATCAGAAGGTTAGAAGGGAAGGAAGAAAAGATCAAGGAACCAAGTGCCTCCAGTGGAAGTGAGGGAGGCTCTGTAGGAAATTAGGAAGAGCAGGGACATATCAAAGCAAAGTCAATGTTTACATGGGACTTATGGGAACAAAGGCTGGCTGGCCAGCCTGGCTACAGGGTGACGGAGGGCCATCCCTCCCCCTGCTAGGGTCTGCGGTGCTATCCATTCGCTCTCTTCCTCCGTCAATCTCGGAGCTTCCTAGTCCACGTTGGAGTCTGAGTGCCCCTCCAGAGGAAGGGCTTGTTCTACACTCACACAGATTTCCAGGGGCTTTTTCTAAAGGAGCAAAGGGGGCCTGGGGAGGGGGGTATCTGAAGGTGAAGGTAGCAACAGACACCTCCTTCCCCTTGTAAATAGTATTTTTATACTTCATCCTCACCATCTCAGGATTTATATATGGAATGGAGGGGGTGGGGGGGAGGGTTCTGTTCCTCCCCAGAGTGGGTGAGGGTGGGAGAAGGTATGTATTTAAAGAAAATTAAATTTAATAACAAGTTTCTCTAACCTTTTGGCTGTGGTTGTGGCCTGTGTCTGTTGGCTTTTTTCCACCAATAAGGAACAAAGCTCTGTAACTGCTGCTTCTCACTTCCCCACATTCAAATCAAACACACGCACACGCACACGCACACACACAGTTTCCTAACCCTTAAAAAGAAAAATTGGCGATAGATTACTGCCTGTACAGCACAGGTTGGGACTAATGTCAATGTACTTTATGACCTGAATAAGCCAGGCTCATTGGATTTCTAGAACATTTTTAAAGAAAGTTGGTGTATGCCACCATACCATTCTGCCAACTAAGACGTAGTAGAATTCTACTTGTATTTAAAGCTGTTGTGCTCTTAAGGCAACCAAAAAGGTCTAGGTTGCTACCATGGGGGCTTGATCTCTTTTCCCTTATACTTTTTTCTTACCGTTAGCTGACAATCACTGACCTACCTTACCCTATGCCACATCTGGAAATAGGACTTAACATTCGATGCCCCTGTGCGCACTCAGATCTTGGACCCCATATCTTGCCATTTTGCTCTCTGTGTCCCAAGGGGGTGATGTGTCAATAATGGATATGCAAGATGGATTGAGAGTGGCAGGAACAATTGGGCTGTGGTCACCCTGCTTGGTGAAAGACATTAGTGCCAATGGTCATCCCAGGGGGCAAGCCCTGGGTATTGTGTACAGGAGAAGCATTTGGAGTGTGGGTCACGGGCATGCAAGAGATGCCCATGTGCCCAGAGGGGCCAGGCCCAGGAGTAGGTGACACCCTCACCACTGCAATTGTACTATGAGGCTCTTGGCACAGTCGGTGCTCAAGCTGGACAGATCTGAGGTGCAGCTGGGGCATCTCAGTGGGGGACCTTTGCCTGAGGATGTGCCTGTTTTTGCCATTTCACACCTTCAGGGGTAATTCTATCTTCCTTAATGCCTCTATACGCCCTGCCTGCTGCTGCCAACCCTATGAGGCCTGGTCTTTCCTTCATCGGGGCACCACTTCTCCCTCTAGTCCTGCCAGCTTGCTTTAGTGTAGGAATAAAATGCATTTCCTATGCAAAGCAAAGCCAAGCCCTCTCTCTAGCTCCTGCTGCAGGCGGGGAAGCCAGTGGTCTGCAGGCTGGCTTCATCTACATGCTCCTCCCTCACCATTTCCCCTTCCTCTCAAGGGAAATCCAGGTTTGGCAGGTTGTCATTAAAATGTTGGCACTAAAATGTCTGAGAACTCAAATAGCATTGTCCTGGAATCAAAATGACAGTGTAAAGATGCCTTGTATTACTCTCAGTGCTTCAATACAGCTAGGTAGGATGGGACTCCAGAGAGGGGGAAACTAGATATGTTTTGCCTGGTCAAATGTAAATTATTAGTAGCCAATCACAAGTGAAATAGTCCCAAATTTAGAGTCATTAGTGTGGTCTTGTTACTCAGGTCAGCATTCCTAGGTCTGCTGCCGTCTGTGCCAGGCACTGTGAGGGAACAGTCCTTACCTTGGGAAAGGGTGCAATCACAGTACTTTGGGTCAGCAAGTTTGTTGTGGTAGAGAGACCCTTAACTCAGTGTGGAAACCCAGGACAGTAGGGGTTTCTGCAGGAAGAGGATACCTGAGCTGAGTCTTGAGAGTGATATGGACAAAAGTATCCCAGGATTCAACGGCCTCTTGTGTGCCAGAGAGTGCAAACAATTCAGTGTGGAGTTGCGCAGGGTGTCCTGTGTGCTGCCAGGAACCTCAGACTTGATAGACGGAGACTCCTAAAGTTTCTTTAGATCAGTCTTCTAAAAGACCTGGGCACCATCTGGGAGCTAAGCCTATATTTTTCTTTGCACGAAATATTCATGGGCATCTACACTACACCTGGTACTGTTCCCATCACTGAAAAGGAGTTTGCATTGCAAACGTGTTTCAAAGGGGAACAGAACTGAAGGAAGCTAGCTGATAATCATGTGTACCAGATAATGAGCACCTAGCCACCAAGTTCTTTCACAAAAATACAATTTGCTTTCCTTTCTGTGTGTACCCCTCTGAGTTCAAGATAGAATGTGGACAAAAGCAAATGAATGGCTTACTCATAATTACACAGATAAGCATCAGCACCAAGGCACAAATCCAGATTGTACAGATCTAAGTTCAGTGTTAGCTTCGACAAACATAGCTTTGGAGGCAGGTTGTGTTCCTTGAAGATAAAGTAACAGGTTCTATAAGTCCTGGGCTGATGCAGTCATAAAGGACAAAGCCCCAGATAATCATCAAATGATTTTTTTGCTTGCCATTATCTAGGACCATGGATTTGTTTTTGTTTTTTTTTAACTCCACAGTGGGTTGTGTCTTTTAAAGAAACTTAAATGGATCAACCATTTACAAAGTTGGTGATTAAAGTGAAGGTGAGAAGCTCAAAGCAGAATTTGCAAATCACTGACTTTGATAGATTGGGACAATGGGTGTCTTGAAGAATTGGCCCCTCTGTTCCCCCTTCTCTCCCTCCCATCAATCTTTCCATTTCAATTCAAAGTCACCCATTTCTCATCTGGCCTTTTTCCATTCTCACTAGGGCCTGTTAGGTCTCCCCAACTTTGCAATGATTGACCCCCCTAAGCTAAACCCAACCTCTGCCCTCCATTCTATCACCCTCTTCTGTCTGGGTGTCATAATATCTTTGATGACCTTGATCATATCCCTCACTCACAGGTGAATCTTCTGTTAAAACCAGGACAAACTGATGACCAGTCGTGCAGGCTTATACAACAAATGTCACTCATGAAAACAAGTTAAACTTGTTTTCCATGCCTCAGACCATCAACAGCACTGGATCCTCTCTATTTTTTTTGAAAACATGCCCATTTGATTCTTCCTGTGATAAACTGGCAAACTATATAGACAGGACGTGAGCAAAGGTCACCTTTGGGCCTTGGCATGGCTTCTGATTCTGTGTCTATGTAACAGTCTCAAAAACAAACTAGGGCATGTGCTCTGTAGATGAAGGGGAACTCCACAGCTCCAGGAGGCACAAGGATACATTTTGATGGGTCTTGTTTGCAGAAAAATAGACAAGCTATAAAAAGTTCCTGGAGTATTTTAAATCTGGATGATTAAGGACCAAGAACTTGGTGGTGGTCTTAATATTATGTTGTAAGCATGAATCTCCACTGCAAACTCAGACTTCCAGAAATGCATTGGTTTCTAACCTTTAAATTGCCCTTGACCTTTGAGCCACCCACTTTCTCCCCATCTGCAGTGCTCTTTCCTCTCAGAATAATTCACGAGTCTCAGTGACACAGATCAACCCTTCCTTCTGTATATGCTCTAACCACTTGGCTGCCTGTTCTCTGAATCCCCAAAGACTCTGCATCTATCATCCTGCCCAGTTTGCTGTGTGAGAAGCTGGTATAGGTGTCAAGGGCCCAGGCGGTCCAGGTCTCACACGGTTGTCTCTACTGATACCATCTCAGAATGCTACCTGGGAGCTAAGTTGCAGGTGCCTACTATCCTTGGGACCCGCCACCTTTATTCTTCTCAGGTTGAAGAGTTGTAGTGTGAACCACCTGCATTCTACATTAAACATTTTGTTATATTTTATCCTATATCATCCATCTAGCTTTAATTAACTTTTTTTAATCCTCACCTGAGGATATGTTTTTTTATTGATTTTTAGAGAGACCTGGATGGAAGAAACATTGATCAGTTACCTCCCGTACCTTCCCCAAGTGGGGATTGAACCCAAAACCTGGGTATATGCCCTGACTGGGAATCGAACCCGCCAACTTTTCGTGTAGGGGATGATGCGCCAACCAACTGAACTGCACCAGCCAGGGCTAGTCAGTGTATTTTTCAATGCATTTCAAAGCAGGCTTCAGATACCAGTACACGCCTTGTATTAAATTTTACGGCTAACATCTTGTTTTGCAAGTGAACTGAGAACAATGAGAAATCTGCCTTGAATATGAAGATATCCATTTTCTGATAACTTGCTGATAAATTCTGAAAAGTAGCTATGACTTCAGGGCGATTTTAGAAAGAACTCAGTTCTATGGCCATAGCACCCTGAACACATCCTATCTCATCTGATCTTGTCAGCCAAGCAGGGTTGGGCCTGGTTAGTATTTGGATGGGAGAAAGAACTCAAATATGAAATCATTTTACATTTAAAATGTGGTGATGGTGCTAAAGGGTTCTTCACTGCCCCTGGTAACTTTTCACTTTGCTAAATGATGTGTTGTGTGTCAAGGGGGAGGGGGCGTGCATCATCAACAGTGTAGGACACCTACCCTTACTACACATATTAACCATGGAATATTGCTTGCACAATTAGCCATGGAATATTTCTGCTTTGGACTTTTTCCACACCCTAAATTCAGCAAGCTAGAATTATCTTTTAAAAACCACTTTAAGCAACCTTTTTGAAAGGAAAAATGCCTACAGAAGGAAATCTGCAATTCTTTGTGGCTAGAATGCAATGTCCTCAACTTAATTATTCTGCAAAGAAGCAAATTTTTCCTTTATTATATGTTGAGAATATGGCAAAGCCAGCAATCCAGCAAATTCATTACAGGTTTGTGAGGTTAAAAACACATATATTCAGGGTGAGAAACAGGCATCCTGCTGTGTGTGATCTGGCAATTGTAAGCCCTGAATTGTGTAATTGCCTTAAATGTGCCAGGCGGGTTTCATTATTTAAAAGAATTATGTTGCCCAGCGGGCGTGGCTCAGTGATTGAGTGTTGACCTATGAACCAGGAGGTCATGGTTTGATTCCCAGTCGGGGCACAAGCCCCGGTTTCGGGCTTGATCCCCAGTGTGAGGAGTGCAGGAGGCAGCCAATCAATGATTCTCTCCCATCATTGATGTTTCTATCTCTTCCTCTCTGAAATCAATGAAATATATTAAAAAATAAAAAAGAATTCTATGTTGAGTCTTTAA